TGACAGCTAAAAATCTAGAGTGTTATTTCTTAGAACCACGTCTCTGCTAAAGAAATTGAAGTCATTGTTAAATTACTGGAAAACTGTACTAACCAGAAACGACAACATCAGGAGGCTATCGCTACAATGTAAGACTTTCAGATTGATACGATGACTGCATGAAGTACATCACTTCCAGGGAAGGCTCATGAAATCAGATCTGGATGGGTGGAGGTACAGACTGCCACGCTTCGATCACCATGCTTGTGTCAGTCATTTGCCAAGCCATTTTATTTCCTCTTGGTTACTTTAAGGTTTTGGATTGTTGACTATGATATCTATTAAATCTCTCTGCTCAATAATGCTTCTTGCATTCCTAGTAACTCCTTGGTAAAAGTCTGATGCTTGGCTATATTTTCCTTGTGATTTGGTTAAAACACAAAATCAAACCAACTTTTGAATTCATATTTGCTTTCCTTAGGGTACCATTCATTTTGCTTTTCTATTAGTTCCTTGTAATAAATTAGTTGATTTCCTAGGTAATTGAGGTCGATCACAGAGTTACTTTTTAAATTTTTTAAATGCTCAATTATTTTTGAGAGAGAGAACAGAGTATAAGTGGGTGTGGAGGCAGAGAGAGCCGGAGACACAGAATTCAAAGTAAACTTCAGGGTCTGAGCTCTGAGCTGTCAGCACAGAGACTGACTCTAATTCACAAACTGTGAGATCATGACCTGATCTAAAGTCTGTTGCTTAACTGACTGGGCCTCAAAGAGTGACTTTTTTAGGGTAACACAACAGGTCAGACAGCCAGAAATCCCTTATCATATTCTCCTCTAAAGAAAAAATACTTGGGGACTGTATAATAAATAGTTTGGCTAGCCTTTGGCCTCAGTTCCTGGGAGATAATTTCTAAACTCTTATAATTTCTTGAGTGAAATAGGGGTGATGGTGGACCCCTCAGACCAAACCTGATAGCTTTATGCTAGTGAGGTGACTCACATGGGGATGGTCATGCCAGAAAGACCAACCACATTGGTGTTCTGAGTCATGTAATATCATCTTGATTTCTGGGAAAGAAAGGAAGCCTAGAAATTGAGTTCAACCACACAGGCAATGATTCAATCAATCGTGCCTATGTAATAAAACTTCAGCAGAAATTCTGGAGTTCCCGGTTAGCAAGACTCTGAGTATTTTCACATTTAGTTGCCGGGAGGGCAACACATCCCTGAAAATGATGGAAGCTTCATATTGAAACCCTTACTCTATGCATCTTTTCTTTTGGCTGGTTCTAATTTGTAGCCTTTTGCTATGATAAACCTGCAATCATAAGTATAGCACTTTTAGTGAATTCTGTGGGTTTCTTTGGTAAGTTCTCAAACCTGAAGGTGGTCAGGGGACCCTCTCAATTTGTAGTCAACTGGTCAGAAATGAGAGTCACCCTGGAGCCGCCCAAATTTGTGGCTGGTGTCTGGAGTGAAGGCAGCATGTGAAGAGCTGTGCTCTCAAAATTTGCATTTTGACAAACTCACTGTAGGAAGCTTTTGTAGAAGCTAGCCTTAGCAACCAATAGAAATAGAGCTTGAAGAAGATTCAAAACGAGATGGAGTATATTCAAAGACTGTTTCACTTTTATAGATCTTACACGAAAGGCACATTAGTGTACTTCATCACAAGATCTTATACTTTAAAGCTATAGTAATCTCTTTATTAAAAATATCATTTCTTGACAACAGTGACGCTTACATAATATTGCAAAACATGTCCAGATGCTTTGACAACTCCATACAGTTATCATCACCAAGAACGTATCATTGGTTGGCCTCTGGCAATTGGTATTAAATTTGTGGCACAAAAACTGACTGTTAGCAGCAGATTGGACAGAGATATGTTATCTTGGTTAATTGACACTGAATATCAGGATAAGCCCTGGTATCACCCAGGACTTATTTTAGCCCACAAATTTCCCTTCCCTGAACAAAACAAAACAAAAAATTACTTACATAATTTAATTCAATAAGGAGGGAAACAAGTCTGTGATTTGAGTTCAAAACCCTTAAAAACTTAAGGGGTTTTTGAGGGTGGGACTGCCTTCTTCTATACCCAAACTTTTCATCTTATGCTTTCCAAAAGGCATGAAAGGTAGGAGTAATCCTACATGTTAGGGTTCAGAAAATAGTAAAACTAAATAATGTGTCCAAGGCCATGGAACTTCTCCCCTAAGAATTTCATGAGATTAGACAGATGCTAGCTCAAAACATAGAGTCATTAGACATAATAGCCTCTTCTTGAAGGAGACTATGTGCTCTGTAAGGGAAATAATATTGTACTTCTATTTTTGCAGATTTCTGCAGGGCCCCTTATATCATAAGAAAGATCTGAAAAACAAATAAAGATACCATGAAGTAAAGTAATTTGTCTAATACCTAAATATCTGGTTCTGTGGGCTCTTCGTAGCTGAAATAGAATCTATTTTCTTAATTCAGTTAGGATATGTTTGCCCAAATTAGATTAGCATCTGTTTGTGTCGCGATGTACAAGTGTGGAACTCCAGAGGCATAAATGCTGCTGTGCAGTCACTGTGAATCCTGCTGATCTTTTACCAAGAACAAGAAAAGTCAACACCTGTAGAGGTTGGAATAACTACCATCAGAAAACACACTCAGGGTGCCTGGGGGGCTTGGTTAAGTGTCTGACTCTTGATTTAGGCTTAGGTCATGATCTTGCAGTTTGTGAGTTTGAGCCCCACATCAGGCTCTGTGCCGACAGTTTGGAGTCTCCTTGGGACTCTGCCTCTCCCTTTCTCTTTGCCCCTTCCCTGCTTGCACTCTCTCTCAAAATAAATAAGCTTACTTAAAGAAATACACTCAACCACAACATATCAAACATGTTCTATATCAACATATCAAATTAGGTTATATATCTGGATCGATGATATGTCCCCAAATGATAATTGTCTTCCAGATTAGCCTGAAGAATGATAAAAGGGGAAGCTGGGAATTTAAACTGACATAATTCTCAAGTCCCTGTGTTAAATAATAACAAAGCAAAATATCAGCTGCTGACTGGGGAATATAATGTGAATTGACCAAAAAGCTTATTTATCAAAACAGCTAGCCCATTAAGATTCACTTCAACACTCTTGATTCACTGAGCCCACTAACCCCAAACTATTATTTCATAAACTTTGCATTGCCAACCAGTTCTTCACCTTGTATAAATCAGGTAGCCCAGGCCCTACATCTCTTTACCTTTCCATAGTTTCCTCATTTTGAGGCACTCCTTGAACTCTGTCCCTGTGATATTCTCCCTTAAATAAAAGTAACATAAGCTGACTTTTTTTGATCAACAGATTGTGTGTGTGTGTGTGTGTGTGTGTGTGTGTGTGTGTGTTAGAGGAGGTCAACACTTGATACCTGCAATAAACAAGTAAGTAAAAAATATATGGCATGCCAGATAGGCATAAGTGCTATAAAAAAGAAAAAAAGCCAAAGAAGTGGGAAAGGAAATGCATGTGGGTGGTGGGTAGATGTGGTCATTCCAATTTTAGATTAGGTAATCAGGGAAGTCCTTCCTACATGGATGCCATTTGATCAAAGACTTGTAAGTGGTGAGAGAGCAAGCATGCAGCTATTTAGGGAAAGAGCATTCCAGAAAGAAGAATAGCATTGCAAAGAGTGTAAGGTAGAAACTTACCTGGCATGTTGAAGAAGTCACAAGGAAGCCAGTATGGCTAAAGAGAGTAAATAGTGGAGAGTTGAGATATGAGGAATAAAAGGTAATAGAAGGGAAATAGGTTGTATAGGGCCTTTTCTTGAAATGGGATGGGAAACGATTCAGGGGAACTTTAGAATTCATTTATTAAAGAATCACACGAAATGTTTAGATTACTTAGGGGATAACTGATATATTTATGATATTGAGTCTTCCCACCCAAGAATATGTCATATCTCTCCATTTTTTTCTAGACTCTCTTTTATGTACTTCAGTAAACCTCAATAGCTCTTGTCCTACGCATCTTTTAAATTCTTAAGTTTATTACTAGGTTTTAAGAGACTATTTTTGTTTGACTTGGTTTTTTGCTATTGTAAATGAGATTCTTCCTGCCACCAACCCATTACAGTCTCTAACTAGACCACCTCTAGGTCATGACTATTACTCTAAATTCACCCACTATCCTGACCTCTATCAGACAGATTAGTTTTGCCTGTTTTTCACCCTTATCTAAATATAATCACATGAATATGTAAATATAATATAGAGAATAACTATTAATTTTTAATATATTCCACTATGGTTACCTTAAGATAGTTCAGAATTAATGTCAATGTCCATTTAATTCATCCTCTTGGAATATTTTGGTAATAATTATATTGCCTTTAAATAATGAATGTTTTTAACTAAGCTTTATGCCCACTGTGGGGTTTGAACTCACAGCTCTGAAATCAAGAGTCACGGGTTGTACCAACTGATCCAGGAACTCCAGAGAGTTTTTTCTCTTCAGTCTTGGTGGTTATAATTAACTTGTGTTACCTAGTTTACTACCTTGGATAGGATTCTCAGAAAATTTATGAATAAAAGGGGCAAAAACATCTTACATGGGACATTAATGTGAAATAATTCTTACTTTTACTCCCTTTAATTTTCTTAATTTTTATTTATTTATTTTTGAATGAGAAAGAGACAGAGCGTGATCAGGAGATGGACAGAGAGAGAGAGAGGGGGAGACACACACACAAAATCCAAAGCAGGCTCCAGGCTCTGAGCTGTCAGCACAGAGCCCAATGCGGGGCTGGAATCCATGAACAGCGAGATCATGACCTGAGTGGAAGTCAGACGCTTAAACGATAGATGATCAGGCACCCCCCAACCTTTACTCCCTTGAAATATAATTTTGATGGATTATTTATTAGAAATTATTTTTATTTTAAGAAATTATCTTTCTCTTACTAATTTCCCATTTTCTTTAAACCAAAAGCTTGTTTTTGCATTGATAGTAAGCACTGTAAGTGGTATTTCTTTTTCACATGGGTGATGTGCCAATATTGTAACAAGGTTTGAGGGAGGTGCGTGTCACACAATAGTGCGAACACTCAATCATCGTGCTTATAAACTACAAAGGGATCTGTAAGTGATATATTAAACAAGCAAACCGGTGGGATATAATCAAAATGCACCTATTTGTTGTTTCTCATGGTCCCTTTAAAATGTATTCAGAGGGCAAGGTTTACTCCACCTTCCTGAATGAAACTCAGGTTTGATTTTTCTCATCCCTCTTCCATAAGGGGAAGTCCAGATATCGCAGGAAGAGGCAACATCTATTTTCAATTCAGTAATTAGGATGCCTTGTCCAATATATGAATCAATCTACATTAACACTTCAAGCTGCATGCAAAGGTTAAGATTTCCCCAACCACACAACTTTAAGTAGGGCCTGGTTTCAGCTAGGAGGCTAGCTTTTATAGAGCAAAATGTAGTGAACTTCTTCTTTTCTCATTTGCTCCCTGAAGGAAGGGGGTAAAAGGGGAGCAGACAATTTATACTTAATTTCTGCTGTTGTAAGATGATCTCATACTCTCTGGGTCTGGAACATCTGTATCTGTAAATTTCTGCAATAAAGTATTATATATCATACAGCTCAATAGAATTTTATAAAATGAAAACATCCATGTACCTAGATGCACCCAGATCAAGAAACTTGATATTGCCACACCCCAGAACTCTTCCTTATACACCTCTTACTCACTATGCTTACTCTATATTCAACCACTATGCCAACTTCTATCAATATAGGCTAGTTTTGCCTATTTTCTTTATTTTTCCATAAATGGAATTATACAGAATGTACTATTTTGTATCTGGTTTCTTTCACTCAATGCATGTGAGATTTATCAATCTTATTAAATGATTCAGTAAGCCTGTCTTTAATTTACTACGGGATAATAGTCCACTGTATGAATATATCACATTTATTTACCCATTTCACTGTTGACAAACATTTAGAAAGCTTTTGATTTGGGCTAATATGGATAATTCTGCTATGAACATCTTTTACCTGTCTTTTACTGGCCATCAGTCCACATCACAGTCATTATGTGCGTTGGAAAACAACCTCAAGGGAAAGGACTTTTAATAATTGATTATTGGGGCACCTGGGAGGCTCAATCCTTTAAGTGTCCGATGTCAGCTCAGGTCATGATCTTACAGTTCATGAGTTTGGGCCCAGCATCAGGGTCTGTGCTGACAGCTCAGAGCCTGGAGACTTCTTCAGATTCTGTGTCATCCTCTCTCTCTGCCCCTCCCCTGCTCATGCTCTGTCTCTCTATCACTCTTTCAAAAATAAACATAAAAAAACTTTTTTAATATTGTTGCTTATTATTCTTGTAAATGTTTAAAATTAATGTTATGAGGGGGACCTGTCTGGTCAGTTGGTAGAGTGAATGTACAACTCATGATCTTGGGGTTGTGGGTTTGAGCCCCAACTTGGGTGTAGACACTAAAAATAAAATCTTTAAAAGAATAAAATAAGGGTGCCTGGGTGGTTCAGTTGGCTAAGCACCTGACTCTTGGGTCATGATCTCACAGATTTGTGAATTCGAGCCCCACATAGGGCTCTGCACTCATAGCCAGGATTGGAACCCTCTCTCTCTCCCTCTATCTCTGCCCCTACCCCACACGAGCACACACACACACTCTCTCTCAAAATAAATCAATAAATATTTAGAAAAATAATAAGAGGTGCCTGAGTTGCTCAGTTGTTTGAGCGACCGACTCTTGATTTCTGCTCGGGTCATGATCTGATGGGTTCATGAGATTGAGTCCCCTGTCAAGCTCTGTGCTAATGGCACAGAACCTGCTTGGGATTCTTTCTGCCCCTCCCCTGCTCGTGTGCTCTCTCTCTCAAAATAAATAAATAAACAAAAAAATCTAAAAAATAAAATAAATAATAATAAATAAATAAAATTAATTTTATCAAGGTGCACATGGCTGGCTCTGTCTGTAGAGACTGCAACTCTTGATCTTGGAGTTATAAGTTCAAGCCCTATGTTGAGTGTGTAGAGATTACTTAAAAATAAAAATGTTGCGGAGCATCTTGCTGTCTCAGTCAGTTGGGTGTCCGACTTCAGCTCAGATCATGACCTCATAGTTTCTGAGTTTGAGCCCCATGTCATTGGGCTCTGTGCTGACAGCTTGATGCCTGGAGCCTGGTTGGGATTCTGTGTGTGTGTCTCTCTCTCTCTGCCCCTCCCCTGCTCACGATCTGTCCTCTCTCTCTCTTTCTCTGCAATAAATAAACATCTAAAAAAATGTTTAAAAATAAATAAAAATCTTAGGGTGTCTGGGAGACTCAGTTGGTTAAGCATCTGAATCTTGATTTTTGTCTCAGGTCATGACTTCATGGTTTGTGAGTCCAAGCCCTACGTCGGGCTCTCTGCTATCAACACAGAGCCTGTGTCAGATCCTCTGTCCCATCTCTCTCTCTGCCCCCTCCCCACTCTCAAAATTAAATAAACATTTTAAAATAATGAAATAAATAATAAAAATTTAAATATTTTTAAAATATGTTTAAAAATAAATAAAATTAGGGCACCTGGGTGGCTCAGTTGGTTAAGCATCTGACTTCGGCTCAGATCACGATCTCATAGTTCATGGGTTTCAGCCCCGCGTTGGGCTCTATGCTAACACCTCGGAGCCTGGAGCCTGCTTTGGATTCTGTGTCTCCCTCTCTCTATGCTCCTTCCCCGCTCACACTCTGTCTCTCTCTCTCTCCAGGTTAAATAAACATTACGAAATAAAGTTAAAAATAAATACAATTAATTTTATCAAGTAATTAAACAAAATAAGAAAAGCTTCCCTTTCTTGTGAAATATGTTGCATTTCTTTTGTTTAACTTATTGTTGTTGTCATTTTTGAGTATAGTTGACACACAGTATTACATTAGTTTCAGGTATACAACTTAATGGTTCAAAAGTTTCTACATTATGTTATGCTCACCACTGGGATGGACAGATACCATCTGTCACTGTACAATGCTGTTACAATACCAATGACTCTTTTCCTTATGCTGTTCCTTTTATTCCTGTGACTTACCCATTCCATAACTGGAAGCCTGTATGTCCCACTCCCCTTCACCAATTTCGCCCAGGCGCCCATGCCCTTTCCTCTGGCAACCATCGGTTTGTTCTCTGTATTTACATGTGCCTCATGACTCACTTTGAAGCTGACCAGCACCTCAGTTGAAATGTCAAGTTTGATGTCCTACCACATAATCATTTTTCTATTTTACCTTACTAACATGATAAGTTACATTAATATTTTCTCATGTTGAGTCATCTTTGTAATTCCAAGACTACTTGATCACTGCATTCGAGTTTATATTTGAATTTTTTGTATTTGTAATAACTGTTGGATTTGAGTTGCCATTTTTTTAACTTTGTAATTATATTCATAAATGAGATTGGGCTATACTTTTCCTTTCTTTCTTTTTTTAAAAACATTTTTAAATGTTTTATTTCTGAGAGAGAGAGAGAGAGACAGCATGAATAGGGGAGGATCAGAGAGAGAGGGAGACACAGAATCTGAAACAGTCTCCAGGCTCTGAGCTAGCTGTCAGGACAGAACCCAATGTGGGGCTCCAACCCACCAACGGTGAGATCATGACCTGAGCTGAAGTCCGACGCCCAACCGACTGAGCCATCCAGGCGCTCCTATACTTTTCCTTTCGTGCTATATTTTTAAATATGTTTTAGTGTTGGCATTATTCTAGAGTCGTAAAAATAAATTAGCAATCTTTTCATATTCATATTTAAATACTATAAGAATAATTTTTTCTTTCAAAGGTTGGTAGAACTTACCTTTAAAATTTCTATGCCTGGGGACCCTCGGTGGCTCAGCTGGTTAAGCGTCTGACTTCAGCTCAGGTCATGATCTCACCATCCGTGAGTCCGAGCCCCACATCAGGCTCTGATATTAGCTCAGAGCCTGGAAACTGCCTCAGGTTCTGTGTCTCCCTCTCTCTCTCTGCCTCTTCCCCACTTGGCCCTCTCTCTCTCTCTCCCTCTCATTCTCTCTCTCCCACAAAGAAAAAGAAATTTAAAACATAAAAAAATAAATTAAAAAAAACTTCTATGCCTCACTAATATCTTTTGAAGTGAGACACTTTTGACTTGGAACAGCCACACGGGCTCCTAGAAATAACTGTAGAAGGTTTTAGGGGACAATGTGGGAATTTTGATAATCACATAGGGATAAAAAGAAGAAAAATCATGTTGCTACTATTATTGGGACTTCGGTTTTTAATTTAATCATAGAGAATAGACTTGCATTGAGAATTTTTGTCACTAGAATCTTAAGCTAGTACTTCAAGCGGAAGGGTATTTATTATATCTAATGCAAGAGTTTACTGAGGAACGAGAAGGGCTGAAGGAAAAGGTTTTATGCTGAGTACAGGAGACTGTAACCTGGTGGCCTGTAATGAGCCGTGCTTCTTGGTTGTCAAACCCCTGTGGAGACCTCATCCCTTAAAACTGGAGTGGCCCTGGGACTTGCTTTAGCCAATAAAATGCAGTAAAGTGAGACTGCCAGTTCTGGACCTAAGCTTTAGGAAGACTAGGCACCGTTCGCTCTCAGTGAGGAAAAACTCTCCGCCTGTAAATCCAGCTACCCCAGGGGAGAAACCAGTTGCAGAAATCACATGGAGGAGTGGAAGCACAAGACTATATAGTGAAGACCTGAGGAGGAACCCAGCCAATTTCGAGAACCAAGGCCACAGACATATGACCCATATTGAGCCCTTCCAGCCAACTACCAGCTGCCTGAGCTACTCTAACCAGGCGCCAGCGTGTAAGTGAAGAAGCCATCTTGGATGGCTCAGCCACTGCAGGCACCACATGGAGCAAATATGAACTATTCCTTCTGTGTCCTGTTTAAATTTTTGACCCACAGGATTATGAGAAATAGTAATACAGTTGTCTCTTGAAGCCACTAAGTTTTGAAGTTGTTTGTCACACGGCAATAACCAGAAGAATCTCTCAAACTGAAGGGAAAAATCATACCACAGAATTGACCTGGTAAGAAAGTGCCCACCACTGCCAATCACACAAACACATTGCTTCTGCAGGTCAT